GTAGATAAAGCTATATGGTTTCGCATAAAATGACTATCTCGCTGGACTGTATTGTACCTTAATATTCGTTTCTACCGTGTGTCTGTTAGATCACAACACTGGAGAGCACTATAATTGTTCTTCACGCGCACATTAACTGAAATTTAAAACTGTAAAGAAAAGGCTCAATAAACTATTGCATAGATAGATACTGTTACTGTATAATACACTATGCATCGATATGCCTTTCCTTTGTGCTTTGAACTTTTCTGCGCGCTGTGACTCTGTGTTGCTTCAAGCGCATCATTCTGCGCTCGGGATGCGCATTAGCGCTGTGTGCCGCACATGAGTCTTTCATAATATATCATTATACTTTTGCGCAATGAAAGATTATTAATAGCTTTTTTTGTTCTGTTCTGTCCTATCTATCATATGTTGCTGCCTCATTAAACAGCTGTGCTATACATTTAAAAATGTCTTAATTTTATAGTAGACTATATATAATAATTGATCTTTCTGATTTTTATCTTGTTTTTCATGAATGTATTTTACAACAATACAAAGAGCAATGTGTAACGTTTTACCTGATTTAGTGCTACACTTATTGTCTCTTTGTTCCCCACTAAATAATGTTTTTTTCACTAAATGTTCAGATTTTATACAATTACTGTTTTTCAATTATTGAGTTATCCACTAATCTAGTTTATAATATAATTTGTCATAAGTTATGATCATATTTTTTTTTTTGATTTGTTGTTTTTATTTATAATGAAGTTGTCTGTATTAAGTAGATTGTGTTTAACAAACAAAAGAGTGATTATCAGTTCAACTTGATTTAAAAAAAACTGCGCTGGTATTGGACCGGTATCGGTTGATACTCCGAATTTTTGGTATCGGATTGGATCGTTCAGAAAAAATGAAAAAAAAATCGGGACATCCCTAATATTTTCTGGTAGGCTATATCTAAGTTACCCAGGAGCTCTGTTCACATAGGCTTAGCTTGATGAATTGAGTCGTTGAACACAGCAGGAGAGAACGCAATGTTAGCCAGCTAGCTAAAGCTCTGGAAAATTAATAGCTAACGCTACGGAGGCCATAATATTTTTGACTCATGGCTGAAGTTAAGTTTCTCCAGCTCTCCAGGTTGGCAAAAAAATGCATCTCAAAATGCATCAGATTGATGCTTTAAAATACGGAATATTGAAAATTTTCTTACGGGGGAGCATGCCCCCGGACCCCCCTAGAGGGGTAATATCCTTCTCAACTTTTGAGTGGGGACTGGGCTAAGCCCCCAATGTATCAAGACCCTCGCAACGCCCCTGATATCTAGTATTTATTTTTAAAATGATCTTTGGACTTTTTTAGATGAAGATTTTATGGCTCTTTTTTGATCAGTAGTGGTTGAGAAGATCTGCTTTTGAGTCTCGTGTGCGTGTGTGTGTGTGTGTGTGTGTCGTTGGTCTCTTTCTCTCCTGGTGTGTGTGTTCATTTGAGTGTGACGGAGGTTTTTGTACGACGCTTTCACTAGAATGAAACACTGTGGTACACTTTCGGTGGAGGAACTAAACTGACGATCAGTAAGTCTCTTCTATTCTCTAAAAATGATTTATTTTTATTTATTTGTTTTGTTTTTAGCTTATTTTAGGAAGCATTTGGCAACAAGATAAAAAAAAAGTTTTTAAAAAAATGTACTGCAATATTTTATGGCGAATTTGATTGTTTCACAATTTCTTTAAATTTGTCTGTTATTTTACAAAAAAACACTTATTCTGTGAGATTTCATCACGTTTATCTTAGCATATTTCATATTGTTTTTAAAATATTCTTTTTACATGATTAATTTCATATATTATAATTGCTAACATTCATTGTTTTTTAATATATTGATTGCAATATTTGGTAACGCTTTAGATTACAGCCCGGAAAGTAATGTATAATTAAGAGAAATTTACTGTGTAACCTTCGGTAATTATAGTATAAAGTACTTACATGTAAGTATAAGGGAACAATATGTAAAGTTTGGGGAATAAAGGGGTAACAACCAGGAGAATTAAAAAAAAAATGTATACTGTAAGTATTATAGAAATAAGGGATATTTATTCTACTATTATGATACAACAATCTTACAATTGGGAGCAATATAGCGAGAACACTGCGTACCTTTTTGTAATAATTGTGTTCCAATACATACTGTATAGGCTTTTTAAAAAATGACAGGGTACATATCTATGCATTTATACCAATTTTTTTTTTTTTTTTTTTTTTTGCAAAAGTGCAGATGTTTAAGTTTGGGCTTACATAATTTTAAATACTGGGAAATATATCTTGTTTCATGTGGTTACAGGGTAAGTGGTGCTTGTATAATAAATAAAGGTTTCCGAGTCAGTGATTTTAGATTGTGTATACATTTTTATTGTTACCCTGTAACTACATGGAACAAGAGGGTAACAAGCACCACTTTAATTTACAGCCCGCAATGTCACACTTACCCTGTAACTACATGGAACAAGGGGGTAACGAGCACCACTACATGAAACAAGAGTATCTTTCCCCAATATTTAAGCAAAAGTTGCAATAGTTTTCATTTTTAGTGCACTTTTGTTAAAAAGATTACTTAATTTAAAAAGCCATACAGTATGTACGCAGTGTATGTTCTTGCTAAATTGCTCCCAAAATGTAAGATTGTTGTATCATAATAGTAGAATAAGTACCCCTTAGTTCTATAATACTTAGTATAAATTATTTTTTTATTCTCCTGGTTGTTACCCCTTTATTCCCCAAACTTAAAATATTGTTCCCTTATTCTTATATTGTAAGTACGTTATAGGTACACTATAATTACCGAAGGTTACACTGTAAAATCGCTTTAATTACGCAGTACTTTCCGGGCTGTAATCTAAAGCGTTACCAAATATTTTTGTAATGTTATATTGAATGTAATATTGTGATATTTTCTGTCATATTCAGGGGTTTTTTTAAGTACATAATTGTGTCCATAATTCTTGGTAAATGTAACTGCTAATACTTTTTGAAATCCATGACACAAAAGTTTGATTAATAATAATAATTATATATTTTAGGCGTCGCCATCAGACAAATAGAAAGATTTGAAAAATTCATCATTTGAACTGAAATTTGCTGATCATTATGATTGTGAGAGTCTTAAGAATTTTTCACAATTAATAATGAAATGATTATTCAGAAAATATCAAATTACTGTAAGATTCGCTGTATATCATGTCTGCTTTACAGAACTGATTTAAATTTAGAATTACATGATACATATTTGAGTATTAGTGAATATTGATTTAACTGAGAATATTTTTAAACTGAATTCAGGATATTTGTGCTTTATGAATGAAAGCAGTTATGTGGAATTTCTGTAAAGATAAAATTATTGTGATTTCTACTACATGACCGAGTCTGACATCTAACTAACTGTGTGTGTGTGTGTGTGTGTGTGTGTGTGTGTGTGTGTGTGTGTGTGTGTGTGTGTGTGTGTGTGTGTGTGTGTGTGTTCAGCCGGGCCCTCCGTGTCTCCCTCCGTGTCTCTGCTGGTCTCTGGAGACTCCTCCGCTCTGCTCTGCCTGCTCAGCTCTTACTCTCCACAGGGGGCGACGGTGAGCTGGACGCTGGACGGGTCAGAGGTCACCGAGGGGGTTCAGACCAGCGCAGAGAGCGAGCGGGGCGGTCTCTACAGTCGCAGCAGCGTCCTGAGCCTCAGCAAAGCACGCTGGGAAGGCAGAGAGCTCTTGGTCTGCAGAGGAACACATGCCGGAGCTGCTCACGAGGCCTCGTTCCTCAAGAGCTCCGAGTGCTGATGTTTCTCCAGTGAAGACCAGCGTATCTGAGCGGCACGTGATTTACAGCTCAATACTGAAGCAGTCTGTCAATGTGCTGCCATTGCTGTTCATTCAATAAAGCTTCATCTGAACGCAAGCTTACATGTGTGTGTGACTGCATCATTGATCAGTGTGTCGTTCCTTCAAAGTCCTGCACTAAAGTTTCAGCTGCTTTTGATTGATTGTAATAGTTGAGAACAGCTGCATTCAGCAGTAAATGTCAAATGAAGCTCTTGGGGTTTGAACATGGTCACTGGAGACGAGCTGCTCTATTCTGAGACCATCACAATCACTAAACCTGACAATGCAAATGAGATTTTCAACTCAAACTCACAGTTTCTCTCTTTTACTGGTTCAACGCTCTGAACTGGAACAGTTTCACTTCTGCTGATGGAGGGATGAGTTATGAATAATAATTTCATTAGTTTGAGATGAAGGAGCTTGAAAAAGGTTCAAGAACATATTTATGTAGGTTACACTTTACTGTGTAGTAGTTTAATGTACAACCCACAAACCTCTGTTTGTCCTCTGTGTGTCAGTAGTGTGTGTGTGTGTGTGTGTCATTCATTTAATAAATCCTTCGACTTATTAAACTGCTCAACCTATATTAAGATGCTGATAGTGCAGTTTATAAAAAAATAAAAAAATAATAATTCACGAGTTCACACTTATGGCGCTTTTCCATTACCAGTACCAGCTCGACTCGACTCGGCTCGCTTTAAGGGGTGGTGGAGGGACGCTGCTAAACTGTGAGAGAAATGAAGTGAGACTGTTGAGTCTACACGTTTTAATCATGATTGCTGAGTGCTCTCCACCCGTGTTAATTATCTGAACGTGCTTCTCCCGAACTTTGTTAATAAAACATCATATCATGCAGAAATTCAAAAATGTTTTGAATGAATTGAAAAATATCCACTGAAGTGAAAATCAAAAGTGACTGAATTTCTACATAAAGGATGTAAAAGGAAACAGGAGACAAATGTCATTCCAGAAAAATCACAATCAAAAAGTCAAAAACTGATGAATCTCAACAAAGTGATGTTCAATAAGATCATATTGAGTCCTTCCTTTCTTCACTGTTGTGTGTGTGTGTGTGTGTGTGTGTGTGTGTGTGTGTGTGTGTGTGTGTGTGTGTGTGTGTGTGTGTGTGTGTGTGTGTGTGTGTGTGTGTGTGTGTGTGTGTGTGTGTGTGTGTGTGTGTGTGTGTGTGTGTGTGTGTGTGTGTGTGTGTGTGTGTTTGAGCAGCTGCAGTTTCAGTTCAGTCACTGTGACTCTGACTGACGGAGGTTTTTGTACGACTCTTTATCACTGTGTGAACACATAATCACCACTGTCGGTCTCATGATAACTCTGACAGTAATAATGTCCAGCATCTTCAGTCTGGACTCCACTGATGCTCAGAGTGAAATCACTGTAAGATCCACTGCCACTGAATCTAGATGGAGTTCCTGACTCGAGGCGGTTTGTTCTATAAATCAGGAGTTTAGGAGCTTCTCCAGGTTTCTGTAAGTACCAGGCTAAGAAATCTCCATTGTACACATCTCTGCTGGTTTTACATTTGATATTCACAGTTCCTCCTGGTTGTTCTGCTGTTATTGAGGGACTCTGAGTGACGGTGATCTGTCCTCTACACTCTGAAACACACAACAAGAAGAAAATCCCCAGAATAAATGAATGATCTTTGCTAAAACAAGTCAATGTAAAGTAGTAAATGCAGTGAAAGTGAGAGTCACCGTTGAGGAGCAGCAGCAGAGAGCAGATGATCAGTGTGTGTGTCGTCATCTTTACTGGGAATGAGTGAAGCTGAAGGACAGAGATGTGGGATTCACAGTCGGACAGACTCTGATATTGAGCTTCAGTCGCAGGGGAGGGACACACACATTCAAAGCCGTTTCCTCTCTAATGTGACACAGCCACTGACAGAAGAGCAGAACTGAGACACTTCACAATTAAAACCTTCATTTCCCCTCATCAAACACTCAACTCATGTTAGTTTGCATCATTGTTATTCACGTTCAGCAATGGCACAGAAATGGATGTTGGGAGAAAGTAAACATGAGGATGAGGAATTGAAGGATGTATTATTAGTATATTATAATCTTCTTAATCACTCGATCGTCCCTTTAAAGCGTCATCAGCTGCACTCAAGGAATTTGTGCTCATGTTTTTCAGTTTGGTTAAGAAATTCCTAATAAATAAAAGCAAGATGTCCTGTTGAAATATGTGAGATGTATGATTGATTTAAACTGCAAAGGAAAAACATAAATTAAAATGATTGTGACAGATGTGAAGGGGAGAATTCATACGCATGTCAGTTTCTTCTTCTGCATGATACACCTGTGCATCCCTCATGTGTCTGAATCTGTTAATGATGAAAATGGAGCTGCATATGAGTGACAGAGGCATTATGACGAACTCCGCATTGGCAGAGGTCAGAGGTCATCTCAGAGGTCAGAGGTCAAGTTGAAGTTGTAACAGTGCTTGAAGGCTCTGAAAACACAATTTTACACCATAAATCAACGTTTAGTAATTCTCCAAGAACAATTGCATAACACCTCAGTTTTTAGATACATATTTCTGTGCCTTTATTGCTTCATGATTTGACTTTTTCACTATGAAAATGAAAGTCTATTATTAATAAGGCGGTAATGGACAAACTGATATCACTCGATCTCAATCATGTCTCTGATATATAAAAGCACAAAATCTCACAGCTGAGCAGATCCAGATTACAACACATTTTTATTCTCCCTACAGAAAGTAGAAATATAACTACTATTCCCTGCAGAAATAACTAAACAATTTCAAAGTGTAAGAGAAGGAAAAAACACACATAATAATCAAAATCAATAAGACTGAGACATTGATGGAGTTTTTTGTTATTTCTCTCAAGTAAGTCTTTGATTTCTGACCTGTAGAATTATTAATTATTAGTGTCAGATTAATTTATATGGTTTTATTTCAGATGCAAGTGTGACGATGTTATTTCAGATCCTCCTTTGAGCAGCTGCAGTTTCAGTTCAGTCACTGTGACTCTGACTGACCGAGGTTTTTGTACGACTCTTTATCACTGTGTGAACACATGTTTATTGTTGATGACGTGGAAACTCTGACAGTAATAATGTCCAGCATCTTCAGTCTGGACTCCACTGATGGTCAGAGTGAAATCACTGTTAGATCCACTGCCACTGAATCTAGATGGAGTTCCTGACTCGAGGCTGTCTGCTGCATAAATCAGGAGTTTAGGAGCTTCTCCAGGTTTCTGTAAGTACCAGGATAGAGGCTGAACACCCCAACCCTGGTAAACTTCAGGACTGGTTTTACAGGATATAGTAACTGTGTCTCTGAGATGAACAGATTTCACTGCAGGCGTCTGAGTGACTGTCACTTCACCAACTGATTCTACATCAAGAAGAATAAATAAATATTCAGAATTACATATTTGGATAATATTTCAAGCACTGTTAATCAGTTAAAATAGTGCAGTTTTTCTTCATATTTCCTGACCTGTGAAACAGCTGGAGAACATCCAGATGAAGATGATGAAGATGAAGCTCATGGTTGCTGTTGGTTCAGATTCTCAGTGTTCAAACTCAGAGTTATAAAACCTCCTGAAGCGTGAGCTGCGATGCAAATAATCTATATGTAAATATGTGTAAGGATTCCAACACATGATGCTCATAAATCATAACAGTGTTTAGGATATTTTTCCATGTTACGAGTCATAAACATTTATTCATGTGTCTGAAGCTACAGGCTTTCTGATGATTCAAATGAGAAGCATCACTAAGATAAACAAGTTTGTCACTGTGAACTTCATTAGAGGTGTAAAGGTCATTCCAGAGGTCATAGGTCATCAGAATGTATTAAAATTGCTTTAATTAATAATTAATAATGCATTGAGATGAATGATAGATTCAGTAGTTTTGATAAAACAGTTATGAGTAATATCTTATCTTGATAAACTTCGAGGGAAAGACAAAGCTTAAAAAAGCTCAAAAACATAGATGTGTAAATCTTTGGGTAGATGGAGATCTGATTCAAAGCCTCATATTCAAATAAAAGATAATCAGCTCTATCCTAAAACCCCTTAAATGTCGTCAGCTCGCTCAAATAAACAATGATTTCAGTAAAACTGCAGTATTTCATCTTGTAAAAATAACAGTGCAGTTTCCACACAACGAAGCGCTTTATTTCAGTGACTGAGGAATAACATCTTTATGAATGTTGAAGTGTGTTTGCTGGAGACTGAAGTGTGTGTGAGAGATCTGTCTTCTGCTCGTGTGAGACTCAGACGCATCGCAGGATTAATAATGAATGATCCAGAAACAGTGAATGGTTACAGACAGACTGATCGTGGGACGGCGGAGCGTCTGATCATGTTAAAGAAGGTTTCTCTCTTTCACTGTCAGTTTGCTCTGAATCCAGTAAATCTGTGACTCTTGTAGATGATGATCTAAACACCGGCTTTATGGAAGATTGTTAATAAACTATTCAAGCAACAACATGTTTATGATTCACTTTACAGCGTGATTGTATGATTAAGAAGGAAAAATAATCATGCTTTATAAAAACACATGAACAACCACGAGAATAGATAAACCAACAATTATCAAAAAATATATGATCAAAATCATTTCTTATTATCTTCAGTAATATTAATGAAGTGCAGCAAAATTGATATTAAGTTAATTTGTGTTTTTTTCATTGTTGAGCGTGTGTGTGTGTGTGTGTGCATGTGTGTGTGAGCAGCTGCAGTTTCAGTTCAGTCACTGTGACTCTGACTGACGGAGGTTCAATAATAATAATAATGTCCAGCATCTTCAGTCTGGACTCCACTGATGCTCAGAGTGAAATCACTGTTAGATCCACTGCCACTGAATCTAGATGGAGTTCCTGACTCGAGGGTGTCTGCGTAATAAATCAGGAGTTTAGGAGCTTCTCCAGGTTTCTGTGAGTACCAGGACACACAGGCTGGGCTGCAGGCTGTATCATCACTACTGAGTTTACAGCTCATCTCTACAGTTTCTCCTGGTTTAGCAGTTTTCTCTGAAGGAGTCTGAGTTGCTGTGATCTGAGCTCTACACCCTGAAAAACAATTCATTTATCAGTCCATAAAGTATATATTATTTGCCATATTTTTAAAGCTCTGTTAAAATTATATATTTAAATTGATTTATATAAAAAATAAACGTTGCACCTTGTAGTATAAAGCTATATAACAGTGTCCAAATGAAGATGATGATGAAGGTCATGTTGATGAAGATTGTTGTGTGTGTCAGTGATGAAGTGTTAAACTCACAGCACTATAAACACTCTCACACACTGAAGATCTGATCAATATGCAAACACACTCCACATCATTTCCCTGAAGACAGAAGAAACACTGTTTTGTCTTTTAGTGTCTTTGCTAATAAACTTCTATTTATCATTTTCAGAAACACACTCATGATTTACTTCATGTTATTTTGGGTCGATCTTCTCTCTCTAAACACTGTTTTAATGATCAGTTTCATTCAGACTTTGATGCTGAGAGCATTTAATAGCTGTGCTGTATTTATATCATCCATGATACTGTATAACAGGTCAAAGGTCATCCAATAGAGAATGACCATCTAAATCTGGCTGAACATTTCATTATAAAGCAGGGCAATAGAATTAAAAGATTTTATATCACATGTGTTTACAAATGTGACAACTGCATTTCAGGACTGATTATGAAACAATATTCATTCAATATCTAGTATTTATTTTTTAAATGATCTTTGGACTTTTTTAGATGAAGATTTTATGGCTCTTTTTTGATCAGTAGTGGTTGAGAAGATCTGCTTTTGAGTCTCGTGTGCGTGTGTGTGTGTGTGTGTGTGTCGTTGGTCTCTTTCTCTCCTGGTGTGTGTGTTCATTTGAGTGTGACGGAGGTTTTTGTACGACGCTTTCACTAGAATGAAACACTGTGGTACACTTTCGGTGGAGGAACTAAACTGACGATCAGTAAGTCTCTTCTATTCTCTAAAAATGATTTATTTTTATTTATTTGTTTTGTTTTTAGATTATTTTAGGAAGCATTTGGCAACAAGATAAAAAAAAGTTTTTAAAAAAATGTACTGCAATATTTTATGGCGAATTTGATTGTTTCACAATTTCTTTAAATTTGTCTGTTATTTTACAAAAAAACACTTATTCTGTGAGATTTCATCACGTCTTTCTTAGCATATTTCATATTGTTTTTAAAATATTCTTTTTACATGATTAATTTCATATATTATAATTGCTAACATTCATTGTTTTTTAATATATTGATTGCAATATTTGGTAACGCTTTAGATTACAGCCCGGAAAGTAATGTATAATTAAGAGAAATTTACTGTGTAACCTTCGGTAATTATAGTATAAAGTACTTACATGTAAGTATAAGGGAACAATATGTAAAGTTTGGGGAATAAAGGGGTAACAACCAGGAGAATTAAAAAAAATGTATACTGTAAGTATTATAGAAATAAGGGATATTTATTCTACTATTATGATACAACAATCTTACAATTGGGAGCAATATAGCGAGAACACTGCGTACCTTTTTGTAATAATTGTGTTCCAATACATACTGTATAGGCTTTTAAAAAAATGACAGGGTACATATCTATGCATTTATACAAATTATTATTATTATTTTTTTTTTTTTGCAAAAGTGCAGATGTTTAAGTTTGGGCTTACATAATTTTAAATACTGGGAAATATATCTTGTTTCATGTGGTTACAGGGTAAGTGGTGCTTGTATAATAAATAAAGGTTTCCGAGTCAGTGATATTAGATTGTGTATGCATTTTTATTGTTACCCTGTAACTACATGGAACAAGAGGGTAACAAGCACCACTTTAATTTACAGCCCGCAACGTCACACTTACCCTGTAACTACATGGAACAAGGGGGTAACGAGCACCACTACATGAAACAAGAGTATCTTTCCCCAATATTTAAGCAAAAGTTGCAATAGTTTTCATTTTTAGTGCACTTTTGTTAAAAAGATTACTTAATTTAAAAAGCCTATACAGTATGTACTGGTTCACCATTTTTTTCAAAAAGGTACGCAGTGTATGTTCTTGCTAAATTGCTCCCAAAATCTAAGATTGTTGTATCATAATAGTAGAATAAGTACCCCTTAGTTCTATAATACTTAGTATAAATTATTTTTTTATTCTCCTGGTTGTTACCCCTTTATTCCCCAAACTTAAAATATTGTTCCCTTATTCTTATATTGTAAGTACGTTATAGGTACACTATAATTACCAAAGGTTACGCTGTAAAATCGCTTTAATTACGCAGTACTTTCCGGGCTGTAATCTAAAGCGTTACCAAATATTTTTGTAATGTTATATTGAATGTAATATTGTGATATTTTCTGTCATATTCAGGTTTTTTTTTAAGTACATAATTGTGTCCATAATTCTTGGTAAATGTAACTGCTAATACTTTTTGAAATCCATGACACAAAAGTTTGATTAATAATAATAATTATATATTTTAGGCGTCGCCATCAGACAAATAGAAAGATTTGAAAAATTCATCATTTGAACTGAAATTTGCTGATCATTATGATTGTGAGAGTCTTAAGAATTTTTCACAATTAATAATGAAATGATTATTCAGAAAATATCAAATTACTGTAAGATTCGCTGTATATCATGTCTGCTTTACAGAACTGATTTATATTTAGAATTACATGATACATATTTGAGTATTAGTAAATATTGATTTAACTGAGAATATTTTTAAACTGAATTCAGGATATTTCTGGTTTATGAATGAAAGCAGTTATGTGGAATTTCTGTAAAGATATAATGATTGTGATTTCTACTACATGACCGAGTCTGACATCTAACTAACTGTGTGTGTGTGTGTGTGTGTGTGTGTGTGTGTGTGTGTGTGTGTGTGTGTTCCAGCCGGTCCCCCCGTGTCTCCCTCCGTGTCTCTGCTGGTCTCTGGAGACTCCTCCGCTCTGCTCTGCCTGCTCAGCTCTTACTCTCCACAGGGGGCGACGGTGAGCTGGACGCTGGACGGGTCAGAGGTCACCGAGGGGGTTCAGACCAGCGCAGAGAGCGAGCGGGGCGGTCTCTACAGTCGCAGCAGCGTCCTGAGCCTCAGCAAAGCACGCTGGGAAGGCAGAGAGCTCTTGGTCTGCAGAGGAACACATGCCGGAGCTGCTCACGAGGCCTCGTTCCTCAAGAGCTCCGAGTGCTGATGTTTCTCCAGTGAAGACCAGCGTATCTGAGCGGCACGTGATTTACAGCTCAATACTGAAGCAGTCTGTCAATGTGCTGCCATTGCTGTTCATTCAATAAAGCTTCATCTGAACGCAAGCTTACATGTGTGTGTGACTGCATCATTGATCAGTGTGTCGTTCCTTCAAAGTCCTGCACTAAAGTTTCAGCTGCTTTTGATTGATTGTAATAGTTGAGAACAGCTGCATTCAGCAGTAAATGTCAAATGAAGCTCTTGGGGTTTGAACATGGTCACTGGAGACGAGCTGCTCTATTCTGAGACCATCACAATCACTAAACCTGACAATGCAAATGAGAGTTTCACCTCAAACTCACAGTTTCTCTCTTTTACTGGTTCAACGCTCTGAACTGGAACAGTTTCACTTCTGCTGATGGAGGGATGAGTTATGAATAATAAATGCATTAGTTTGAGATGAAGGAGCTTGAAAAAGGTTTAAGAACATATTTATAGCTGGTGTTACACAATTACTTTACTGTGTGGTTTAATGTACAAAAAAAAACACAAAATATTGCGTTTGTTTGATTTATATCAGTTTACACACTCAGTTTTCTCTGATTCTGAGAATATTAGTCAAACTCGTCTGTCACAGATCAGATCAGTCTAATAGAGCTGATTTCAGTCATAAGTCATTTTGTGCACATGTGTAGTTCCTGTGTTTGTCCTCTGTGTTTCAGTAGTGTGTGTGTGTGTGTGTGTGTGTGTGTGTGTGTGTGTGTGTGTGTGTGTGTGTGTGTGTGTGTGTGTGTGTGTGTGTGTGAGAGAGAGAAAATGTTTGAGCAGCTGCAGTTTCAGTTCAGTTCACTGTGACTGACGGAGGTTTTTGTACGACTCTTTATCACTGTGTGAACCACCGAATGCTCGCAGGGTAGTATAAACTCTGACAGTAATAATGTCCAGCATCTTCAGTCTGGACTCCACTGATGGTCAGAGTGAAATCACTGTTAGATCCACTGCCACTGAATCTAGATGGAGTTCCTGACTGGAGGCGATTGGCCCAATAAATCAGGAGTTTAGGAGCTTCTCCAGGTTTCTGTGAGTACCAGGCTAAGAAATCATCAGATCCATCATTGTACACATCTCTGCTAGTTTTACAGTTGATATTCACAGTTCCTCCTGGTTGTTCTGCTGTTATTGAGGGACTCTGAGTGACGGTGATCTGTCCTCTACACTCTGAAACACACAACAAGAAAATACACTCAAAACTTTGACAATATACTTGAAGAAATGAATTGATATCAAACTTGTGCTCCACAAACCTTGAGCAAACGCTGTGAGAGTCCAGATGAAGATGATGATGAAGGTCATGTTGATGAAGATTGTTGTGTGTGTCAGTGATGAAGTGTTAAACTCACAGCACTATAAACACTCTCACACACTGAAGATCTGATCAATATGCAAACACACTCCACATCATTTCCCTGAAGACAGTCACTCAATAACAGACACAAAACACAATTACTGAAGTGAGAATAGAGTAAAAATTAATGTTTTTTATAATATTGTATCCTCTACAATAGTCAAAATGTTAAAAATTATATCATTCAATTCAGTTCTGATCACATCTACAAGACCAACTTCAGTATATTAATCTGAATATCTGAATATGAGCAGATCCGGATCCAGACTCAAATCACTGAAGCTTTTCTATAGTAAAGTGACATCACAGCCTCATTCTCATTCCTGTCTACAAATAAAAATGTTGCTACCCTGAGAAGTTCGTACTTACGAGGTGGGAAGTCTGTTTACGATGGCAGGAGCGTTCAAGTCATTTTCGTCGGAGTAAGATGGCGGTGTACTTTCTCTTAATTAATTACACAAAAATACAGCAAGCTTCTACTCTAGTTCTAGAAAATGAAGAACAAAGAAATGTGTATCAGTTGTGCTTTGTTTTTGTTTTTTTATTAATTTATGAAGCCTCTGCAAACTTTGTTACATATTACATTGTTATATTATAACGCCATCATATTCTGTACTGGTAAATACTCTAAATAGAAAAGCCTTACAATATCACTGCTAAATACCTTTCAGTAGCTTTATGTGAGTAAAATATAGGCAATTTTTTTAAATGGCAGATGACTGGAAAAGTATTGGAAATTCAATGATCATATGATGTAGAGGACCGACTGAATACTGTGAAGTATAAACCAGAAAGTATAGGCTGTGCAAACGGTAATGCAACACTTTTTTCACACAACCTCATTTGTAATCTTATTAAAATAAGCCATTAAAGACATCATGGATTTAATTACTTCCAGATCATTTGATTAGATTATTCACTTGAACTTTCTCAATCTCTGTTTTTCTGATATGTGGTATATACTGTGAAAGTAATGAGAAGATACAAAAAAATAAAAAATCTTTGATCATACGCCGAATACGGAAATCATAATGTAGGCAAAGGTAAATGATTAGAAACAGAAATGAGTCGATCAGGTCCATTTTGTCTGGTTTCAGATGTGTTTGTTCTGCTGACTGGTGAAAGTTTAAGAGAGAAAGAATGTTGAAGAATGTTTAGATATGTGTATTTGAAAACATGTTGTGTGTGTGTGTGTGTGTGTGTGTGTGTGTGTGTGTGTGTGTGTGTGTGTGTGTGTGTGTGTGTGTGTGTGTGTGTGTGTGTGTGTGTGTGTGTGTGTGTGTGTGTGTGTGTGTGTGTGTGTGTGTGTGTGTGTGTGTGTGTGTTTGAGCAGCTGCAGTTTCAGTTCAGTCACTGTGACTCTGACTGACGGAGGTTTTTGTACGACTCTTTATCACTGTGTGAACACATCATCACCTCTGTCGGTCTCATGATAACTCTGACAGTAATAATGTCCAGCATCTTCAGTCTGGACTCCACTGATGGTCAGAGTGAAATCACTGTTAGATCCACTGCCACTGAATCTAGATGGAGTTCCTGACTCGAGGCTGTCTGCTGCATAAATCAGGAGTTTAGGAGCTTCTCCAGGTTTCTGTAAGTACCAGGATAGAGGCTGATAACCCCAACCCTGATAGACTTCAGGACTGGTTTTACAGGATATAGTAACTGTGTCTCTGAGATGAACAGGTTTCACTGCAGGCGTCTGAGTGACTGTCACTTCACCAACTGAATCTACATCAAGAAGAAGAAATAAATATTCAGAATTACATATTTGGATAATATTTCAAGCACTGTTAATCAGTTAAAATAGTGCAGTTTAACTTCATATTTCCTCACCTGTGAAACAGCTGGAGAACATCCAGATGAAGATGATGAAGAGGAAGCTCATGGTTGCTGTTGGTTCAGATTCTCAGTGTTCAGACTCAGAGTTATAAATCCTCCTGAAGCGTGAGCTGCGATGCAAATAATCTATATGTAAATATGTGTAAGGATTCCAACACATGATGCTCATAAATCATAACAGTGTTTAGGATATTTTTCCATGTTACGAGTCATAAACATTTATTCATGTGTCTGAAGCTACAGGCTTTCTGATGATTCAAATGACAGAGTTGCTACAGTAGCGTGTCACTGAACTTCATTAGAGGGCAAAGGTCATTCCAGAGGTCAGAGGTCATCAGAATGTATTAAAATTGTTTTAATCATTAACAATGCACTGAGATGAATGATAGAGTCAGTAGTTTTGATAGAAAAGTTATGGTGAATACAGTAATATCTTTATTACAGTTTTTTTTATTCGCTTTGGTACTATTTTCACAAGTAAGGTGTACATTTTCAAAACTCTTAGTGCTAATATCACAACAGATCATCAAAAGTGCACTTTTTCAAACATTTCATCATGTTTTTTTAATTGTGTTAGTACAATTCACAAAATCACAAAGTATCCTTTTCACAACACAAAATAAGTGTTTCATCTACAACTGTTTCATTCACAGTAACTGCCTTTCATAAAGCTCTTATTATCAAACTTTTGATTTGCATCTCTTTTTGTTCAGTTTAATACATTTGTCTATTATTTAATCCAACTGATCTTAATGGTTAATCAATTGATCATTTGGCACACCTATAGATTTCTATATTGATTGTATATACAGTTTCTACAACTTGTTTGCAATTTCCGATATGGATAACCAAATGTAATGAATTCTTTTTACTACATAAGTGATTTATAGATACAGTAATAACCACCACTATGTTCAAAGTGTGTGCACACGCATGTGTGTGTGAGAGAGGTACAGAGAAATTTGCTATTTGTGAAAACACTGAAGAGCAGAATAGAGTATAATGGAGAGGAAACGGTCAATTACTGTAAAACATTAGATTGATTAGAGATGCATCAGTAGAAGGGAGACAGATGGCATCAAATACAGCATTTTACATTACAGTCTGTATGCCATGTGATACTGTAAACAGATTACCATGGTAGAGACTGCCACATTACTGTAATTCAACCTTCATCTGTAAAGGTCCACTACAGTATAGATTCAGTCAAAGGCTATAGAGTGAACACATTTACTGTATTGCCAGCAGACTCTGTTCTCGCACAGAACCTCATGGCTGTGTCATACTTCATCACAGCTTTTGATAACTCACTGCAGATACTATTACAAACATTATGGATTCAATTACATAAGTTAGGTAATGCACGTGTATTTTCTAATGTGGCAACTGTAGTCTGTAATACTGTAATTATTTCAGCAACAAGGGTGATTTGAAACATGTATCTTGCATTGTTTGCTGTTGAATGAACTGATTGTTAAAAGTACTAAATTGAAAGAAGATCATACTGTTGTGTTTCTGTGATTAAACCAAACGTTCTCATTACATATTACAATAATCTTGTGTTTGAAACAATGATTATGTGGACTGAAAAATGTATAACTGTAATGAAAGCATGGGATCATGTTTTGAAAGAATGACTGTGTTACAAGTGTGATCAGTTTGGATTTTTGTACTAAGAGTTTTGAAAATGTACACCTTACTTGTGAAAATAGTACCAAAGCGAATAAAAAAAACTGTATTATCTTGACAAACTTCAAGGGAAAGATAAAGCTACTTGAAAAAGGTCAAAAACTTATGGTGGCAGTTTTATTTGTTTGATTTGATATCAATATACAGTTTTTTCTCTGTCTGTCACAGATTACAGTCTAATAGAGCTGATTTCAGTCACAAGTCAGTTTTGAGCACAAGTGTAGTGTGTGTGTGTGTGTGTGTGTGTGTGTGGCCTGGTAAACCCTACGTTATGGGGACAAAATGTCCCCACAAGGATGGCAATATCCGAAATCCTTGTTCGTGTGGGGACATTTTTTGGTCCCCATGAGGAAATCAGCTTATAAATCACACTAAGTGATGTTGTTTGAAAATGTAAAAATGCAGAATGTTTCCTGTGATGGGTAGGTTTAGGGATAGGGGCAGTGTAAGGGAATAGAATATACAGTTTGTACAGTATAAAAATCATTATGTCTATGGAAAGTCCCCATAAAACATGAAAACACAACGTGTGTGTGTGTGTGTGTGTGTGTGTGTGTGTGTGTGTGTGTGTGTGTGTGTGTGTGTGTGTGTGTGTGTGTGTGTGTGTGTGTGTGTGTGTGTGTGTGTGTGTGTGTGTGTGTGTGTGTGTGTGTGTGTGTGTGTGTGTGTGTGTTTGAGCAGCTGCAGTTTCAGTTCAGTCACTGTGACTCTGACTGACGGAGATTTTTGTACGACTCTTTATCACTGTGTGAACACATGTTTACTGTTGATCCAGTGTCTACTTATACAGTAATAATGTCCAGCATCTTCAGTCTGGACTCCACTGATGGTCAGAGTAAAATCTGTTCCATAATTTGCTCCATTGCCAGTGAATCTCGATGGATTTCCTGACTGTCGTGACTTAATGGAATAAATGAGGAGTTTAGGAGCTTCTCCAGGTTTCTGCAGATACCAGGAGAGACAGGAGCCACAACCTTGAGTACGATCTCCAATTCCTCTGTCAGTTTGACAGTTTATAGTGACTGTTCCTCCGAGAAGAGCTTCTTCTGAGGGAGTCTGAGTCACAGAAACCTGTCCTGTAATTTCTGTGAATGACATTTCATTAGATTATAAGTATCAGAGTCAAAGTATCCAGTATAAAATCTATATTGAACATCAAAAGCATGGACATAAATCACATCTTGAGTTATTTATAGAGTAAATGAATCTTGAACAGAAAGAATGAGAGTCCAGATGCAGACGCTGATGATCATCATTCTTCTTATGGGTGGTTTACTTTCAGTCTGAATGAAGAAAAGCTGTCAGTGATGAAGTGTTAAACTCACAGCACTATAAACACTCTCACACACTGAAGGTCTGATCAATATGCAAACACACTCCACATCATTTCCCTGAAGACAGATGAAACACTGGCATTATGTTTGTGCAACAGCTTTGTATAGATGTTTATTTACTTGTTGCATTATTTTGGGCTGAGCTAAAAAAAAAAAAAAAAAAAAAATAATGAGTGATTTCATTAAGACTTAGACACTAAATGTTTGTGATAAGTTGAGAACAGCAGCATTCAGCAGTGTGAGACGGGGATTAAAGTTACACCTGTTGTTTGAGTATCAGTAACTCAGTGGTTGTTTGTACTTAATCTCTCAAAATTTGATACACGTTAGATACATTTTTCTGCTACAAATTTCCTCACTTGGACATGTACAACACAATCACAGATTATGTGAGTTATTGTGAAACACAAAGAGTTCTGTTGTTGAAAACTAACACACTATTGTTGTCACACAGGCCGGGATAGATGTAACAATGAGAGATAATTTACTGAAATAAGATCCACACAATCTAAATGTGTGCAAGAATGTTATTGAAGAACAAAAAATAATCAGTTTTTAATAAAGTAATCAATTTAAAGTAACAAAAATCTTTGGATTATATTTCTTTAGGGACTTTAAATTTAGCACAAAAACAACTGCCGTGTGTGTTGTGTGAGTGATCATGTGTGTGTTCTCAATTCCTGTCACACAACAGTTCAGTCACTAGCTAATGTTGCCATCCACCTTTTATTGTGTGAGTTTTGGGATAGGCGATCACATAAAAAAACGTCGGATGGAAAAGCAGAGATGCACATTTATTCTAAAAATGTGCACAAAAATCAAATGTGCTCAACTGAGGTGATAATGTTTTTATCCGATAAGAAGTCATGGGCATAAACTTTGATGGAAACATATTCAGCACAGAAATCCCTCAATGAGCAACAAAAAACTCACATGATTTTGTCTTAACAGGGCGTGATTAATAACTGTAATAATCATCATAAGGGGTAGTTTGTAACACTTTTTTAAGAACTGTTACAACTATCCTCACCGCAAACAGCCGTAACATAGCTAACTGTTTTAGCATGTGGGTTTGAAGTTAGCATGAATGCAAAGCATCAAAATCTGATGGTCAGAGTGAAATCACTGTTAGATCCACTGCCACTGAATCTAGATGGAGTTCCTGACTGGAGGCGGTTTGCGTAATAAATCAGGAGTTTAGGAGCTTCTCCAGATTTCTGTAAGTACCAGGCTAACTCTTCATCCCCATCATCATCCCTGTACAGTACACATTACTGCTGGTTTTACATTTTTTCATATTTACAGTTCCTCCTGGTTGTTCTGCTGTTATTGAGGGACTCTGAGTGACTGTTAAAACTGTTAAAAATGATATAATTCAATTCATCTGAATACATCTACAAGACCAACTTTAGAATATTAATCTGAATATCTGCTGTGAGATTTTTTTTACTTTAGTTGGATTGAAATGTCGCTGTTAATCCCCAAATTTGACACCAAATCCATGTGTGTTCCTGCAGTTTATGAACATGAGGATTGTCACACATTTGCTTAATGAATGTGCACTTTTCCCCAGAGTCCTTCATCCAAACCTCCTGTTCCTCGACGAGGTGTGTACTCCCTGTGTCTATAACTCAATGCAAACTCCTATTGTAAGTTGATTCTCCACATTGGGGATGTTTTGTCTTGGTCTGAGTATTTAAGGAAAATGCCTCAAGAGGCTCGGGGGATTCTGTAAGATCGGCTCGTGATGTTGAACGTCCTCGAGACACTCATCATTTATATTTTTTTAATGTCAGGTAATCTTTTACTCTTTATCGCTGAGCATTTGATGTTTTGTACTGATTATATTTGAATTGATTATTCATTGGCATGATGCATTTACGTGACTAATAATGAATTGTTAAATTCGAATTTATTTTGACTCACTCTGAAATGATATAGAACTCTATGAACTCTATAGATTACATTGAGTCCATAACAGCACAATTACTGTATACGCTCAGGTCAGTGACGGACTGGCATTATATATGTGGAGCAGAGGAGCACACCGGCTGAAGTTACAGAGATACGAATAACACATCGGCATTAGTCATGTACACTTATAATACTTATAATAATGGGTTTTCCGTTTAAGACAACCTCTAATTATTTATAGTATTATTCTAATGAAGTGTACGTGGGAAACCACGGCATAATTAGACAAAGTTACCATCAGAAGTAGTTCAGTTGGTCAGCTTAGTTCTATGGTAATGGTCGTGGGCTCTGGTTAGATAATCTTACGTTATTATAAGTGTGTTCAGATCTATGGGGACTAAAATGTAGAAAATAAATGTAGAAAATCAACAAAAAAAAAGAAGAAAAAAAAGAAGAAAAAAAAGGTGAAGGAATGAAGAATATCCACTGAAGTGAAAATCAAAAGTGACTGAATTTCTGGATGTAGTGAAACAGAAGACAAATGTGATTTCTTAAAGATTACAATCAAAAAGTCAAAAACTGATGAGGCTCAAGAAAATTATGTTCAGTAAGATCATATTGAGTCGTGTGTGTGTGTGTGTGTGTGTTTGAGCAGCTGCAGTTTCAGTTCAGTCACTGTGACTCTGACTGACGGAGGTTTTTGTGCGACTCTTTATCACTGTGTGAACACTTCATCACCTCTGTCGGTCTCATGATAACTCTGACAGTAATAATGTCCAGCATCTTCAGTCTGGACTCCACTGATGCTCAGAGTGAAATCACTGTTAGATCCACTGCCACTGAATCTAGATGGAGTTCCTGACTGGAGGCGATTTGTGTAATAAATCAGGAGTTTAGGAGCTTCTCCAGGTTTCTGTAAGTACCAGGCTAAATCTTCATCCCCATCACTCCATCTCCTCACATCACTGCTGGTTTTACATTTGATATTCACAGTTCCTCCTGGTTGTTCTGCTGTTATTGAGGGACTCTGAGTGACGGTGATCTGTCCTCTACACTCTGAAACACACAACAAGAAAATACACTCAAAACTTTGACAATATACTTGAAGAAATGAATTAATATCAAACTTGTGCTCCACAAACCTTGAGCAAACGCTGTGAGAGTCCAGATGAAGATGATGATGAAGGTCATGTTGATGAAGATTGTTGTGTGTGTCAGTGATGAAGTGTTAAACTCACTGCACTATAAACACTCTCACACACTGAAGATCTGATCAATATGCAAACACACTCCACATCATTTCCCTGAAGACAGTCACTCAATAACAGACACAACACACAATTACTGAAGTGAGAACAGAGTCAAAATGAATGTTTTTCATAATATTGTATCCTCTACAATAGTCAAAATGTTAAAAATGATATCATTCAATTCAGTTCTGATTACATCTAAGACCAGCTTCAGTATATTAATCTGAATATCTGAATATGAGCAGATCCGGATCCAGACTCAAATGAAGGTTTTCTAGTAAAGTTCAGATTTAAACTTCAGCAACGGCTCCAGCATACAGTGTACAGCGAGACATTTAACATTATTTACAGGTCATCACCTTTACCAATAACTGGAATAGAATTGAAAAATATATATTTTGCTATATATTTCTATTCATCTTTTTGTCTTCTTTTACAGTGCTTTAATGTGTTACTATTATAACATGTCACATCCATGCAGAGTGAATCCAGCGTTTATATGTAATGTCACTTCAGAAACTTTGCAGCGCTGGCCGTCGGTTCTCTTAGCAGGATAAAAAACTATAGTTTTATTCAATAGATTATATAATCTGTAGCCTCGAAAGCGAGACAAGACTTCACTGAGAGACTTGGAGAATATTTTTTACTGTAGTTGGAGTGAAACGTCGCTGTTAATTCCCAAATTTTACACCAAATCCGTGTGTGTTCCTGCAGTTTATGAACATGATCATCACACACACGAGTCTCTGTCAGTCACTGAATAACTGAGTTTGTGAGTCACACATGATATAAACATGTCGACCTTTATAAATGTTTATAAAATACATTTAAAATAATAGGGTGACATGCATATGCTGTTTTTGGTTATACAGCTCCTGTTGGGTAATCTGGTCTTTAATTTTTTAATTAAATTAAATAAAAATTAAATTAAATTAAATTAAATTAAATTAAATTAAATTAAATTAAATTAAATTAAATTAAATTAAATTAGCTAATTCCTCCATACATACATATTAATATAAATTATTATCAGCTCTGATGTTGAGGGATGTGTTTATATGATGCTGTTAATATATGCATTATGAGGGATTCGTTTAATAAATCCATCGACATTGTTAGGCTATATGAAATCATAAATGCAGAATATCAAAAATGTGGTGAAGAATTGAAGAATATCCACTGAAGTGAAAATCAAAAGTGACTGAATTTCTACATGAAGGATGTAAACAGGAGACAAATATGACTTCTATAAAATCACAATCAAAAATATTAATAACTGATGAAGCTCAAGAAAATTATGTTCAATAAGATCATATTGAGTCGTTTCTTCACTGTTGTGTGTGTGTGTGTGTGTGTGTGTGTGTGTTTGAGCAGCTGCAGTTTCAGTTCAGTCACTGTGACTCTGACTGACGGAGGTTTTTGTACGACTCTTTATCACTGTGTGAACACATCTTTACTGTTGATGTAGTGATAACTCTGACAGTAATAATGTCCAGCATCTTCAGTCTGGACTCCACTGATGGTCAGAGTGAAATCTGTTCCTGCTGCTTCTCCATTCCCACTGAATCGACTGAGACTCTCATCATAGAGATCATTTACCCCAGTAATGATGAGTTTAGGAGCTTCTCCGTGTTTCTGCTGATACCAAGCTAAACCATAGCCATCTATCCCAGCATCAGTTTTACACTCTATAGTGGCTTTTTGTCCTTCAGAAACAGACACAACTTCAGGCTGAGTCACAGTGATTCCTCTGGATGCTGTCGACAACAACATTTTATGAGTTTCATCAAATGAAATGAACATTAAAGACTCAGAAATGACGAGCTTTGACTTCTGTTACCTGGAATAAAAGCTGTCAGAATCCAGATGAAGCCGCTGAAGAGATTCATGGTGTGTGTTGGGTTTGTACCGTGGTAAACAGCCGTGTGTTATAAAGTGTGTGAGTCTGAAGGCTATAAACACTCGGAGAGCTGAAACACGTGCCGATGCAAAGTGACTCTCTGAGCAAAAACCAGCTGGAGGAAAACACACATGAACATGAACATGCAGACGAAACTGATCCAGTTTATGCCTTTAATGTGTTTTATTCTCATGATCAATGAGTGTGTTTTCACTTCTTTACAAGTTTAGAAATCATTTCTTCTTTATTCTGCATGAGTCTCTGGTTCAGAGTTCAGACTTTCTGATGAATCGAGTGACAGAGTTTTATCACTAAAAGAAACGAGTATTTCACTCTGAACTCCATGAGAGGTCAAAGGTCATTCCAGAGGTCACAGGTCATCAAAACTCATTCAAATGCTTTGAGAAACACAGGATCATTTAAAAACTCCCAGTTAATATGTGTAATGATCAGTACAGAGTCTTTCTGATTATATTATTTATTTAGATTGAATAGTTCTCACGCATTAAGAGACATTTAGAGACGATGAGGCTGTTTCTGTGAAAGTCACTTCAGTTCAATAATCATGATGTTGAGTGTGTGTGTGTGTGTGTGTGTGTGTGTGTGTGTGTGTGTGTGTGTGTGTGTGTGTTGTTCGTCTCTTTCTCTGCTGGTGTGTGTGTTCATTTGAGTGTGACGGAGGTTTTTGTACGACGCTTTCACTAGAATGAAACACTGTGGTGGACTTTCGGTGGAGGAACTAAACTGACGATCAGAACCTGTGAGTCTTTCTTAAATTATATAATTATCTAAACATATGATGTTTTTTTAAAAGGTTTAAGTTTAATTAAGAACATTTGGCAACAATATTCCTTGTTTATTACAAAAATATATTATTGAAAAGCTTTACCATTTCAAATCTTAATTATTGTCACATTTTCTCCTGTTTTACTTATTAATTGCATGCATTTAATTATTACATTTTTTCTGCTATATTATAAATTTGTCATAATTATTGATATTCCATGTTTTTAACATTTCAATCCATTCACATTCATAATGTTTTACATTAGTAATTTCACACATACTGAATGCAAACAATTCATTGTATTTTAATTAATTGTAATATAGACAAAATAGATTTCATTAGTGTCATTAACAGACAAAAATACATTTTGTTGATAAACGTATTAAAATGAACTATATAAACTATAGTTTACTTATATTTCTGTTAATGAGGAAGTGTCCTGAATGATGATTATTTTCCAAACACAATAATATATTGAAATGATCCTTTCTAAATATTATAAAATATCACAATAAAATTATCAAATTGTACTTGGACAGAGAAGTTCTTGAAAATCAGTTAAACATTTTAATTAATGCAGAACGGAACATATATATATATATATATATTTAATATTTTTAAAAGAACTGATTTATATATGCATCTTTAATTTTTTTTTTAACTTTTACGGTAAGAAAAAGGCATCTTTGTTTGCCAGACCTGTTATTTTCACTTCAAAAACTGTAAAATTACATGAAATATCCAGTTAAATCTATTACAGTTTTACTGTATACAGCAAAGGAACAAACCGTTTACCAATGTATCAGTTTTACCGTAGCATTTTCTTTTACCATTAAAATGACAAAACATGTATTACAGTGAGTGAGTTATAGTGAGTTATAGTCAATATTGATCAAAGGGAGAATATTTTCAAACTAAACTCAGGATAATGTCTATGAATGAAAGCAGTGCGGTGAAACTACAGTAAAGATGAAATGATTGTGGTTTTTACTGTATTACCATCAGACAAAGAGAAATTAAGTTATTGAGCATTTTAAAAATCAATCATTTAAACTATTAGGTTTGCTGATGATTGTGTCTTAACAGAATTTTATTGACATCAAATGAGCAAATTTTTTCATTTATTTCATTATTCATTTAAATTATATGATTCATATTGTTTTTGAATGTCTTTTTTCATTTTCACATAAATAATTTAACTTTTTGGTGACATTTGATTAATTTCATGTATTGACTGCAGTACTTTAAAATCTAGTCAATTATTTCTTGATTTATACATAATTTTGTCAATAATTCTTGGTAAATTTAACTATTAAGGGCTTTTTTAAATGCATGATTTTTTCAAAATAAATGTATAGTTTTCATCAGACAAAAAGAAACTTAGATGAATAGCATTTTGAAAATTAATAATTTAAACGATTTAAACGTTCAAATTTGATGATGTTTGTGTTTATGAGTGTGTGAATAGCAGAATATTTTCAAAATACAAAATAATATTGAAATGATCATTTAAATTAGTTTTCTAGATCGTATAACGACATCACAATATTATAAATTTTCTTGGAAAATGCTTTTCAAACTCATTCTGGTGATCATTAAAATGTAACTTGTATATTTAAAGTGAAATGATGGTGATTCTCCATGAATGTGTGTGTGTGTGTGTGTGTGTGTGTTTCAGCCGGGCCCTCCGTGTCTCCCTCCGTGTCTCTGCTGGTCTCTGGAGACTCCTCCGCTCTGCTCTGCCTGCTCAGCTCTTACTCTCCACAGGGGGCGACGGTGAGCTGGACGCTGGACGGGTCAGAGGTCACCGAGGGGGTTCAGACCAGCGCAGAGAGCGAGCGGGGCGGTCTCTACAGTCGCAGCAGCGTCCTGAGCCTCAGCAAAGCACGCTGGGAAGGCAGAGAGCTCTTGGTCTGCAGAGGAACACATGCCGGAGCTGCTCACGAGGCCTCGTTCCTCAAGAGCTCCGAGTGCTGATGTTTCTCCAGTGAAGACCAGCGTATCTGAGCGGCACGTGATTTACAGCTCAATACTGAAGCAGTCTGTCAATGTGCTGCCATTGCTGTTCATTCAATAAAGCTTCATCTGAACGCAAGCTTACATGTGTGTGTGACTGCATCATTGATCAGTGTGTCGTTCCTTCAAAGTCCTGCACTAAAGTTTCAGCTGCTTTTGATTGATTGTAATAGTTGAGAACAGCTGCATTCAGCAGTAAATGTCAAATGAAGCTCTTGGGGTTTGAACATGGTCACTGGAGACGAGCTGCTCTATTCTGAGACCGTCACAATCACTAAACCTGACAATGCAAATGAGATTTTCACCTCAAACTCACAGTTTCACTCTTTTACTGGTTCAACGCTCTAAACTGGAACAGTTTCACTTCTGCTAAAATGAGTTATGAATAATAAATATATTAAAAGCTTGAGATGAAGTAGCTAGGCCTACTTGAAAAAGGCTCAAAAACATCTTTGTAACATTGACTTTATCATATAGTGTATTGTACTAAACAAACAATATGGTTTGTTTGATTTCATTTCAGTTTACACATTCAGTTTTCTCTGATTCAGTGCATTTTTAAATCAAACCCGTCCGTCGCAGATCAGATCTGTTGTGTTGAGAAGTATACAATACTTGATGTTCAATTCATATTAATTGCTTACTATAACAGATATAATAATGTGGAACTGCACCACTTTAGGCTCTATAGAGAAATTGTGTTGAGTAATGCGATGAAAAAGAATAAAGGTTAAAGCTGAATCCGAAATCACTTCACTATATAGTCGGTGAAAAGCAGTATGTGACAAAAAGAAGTATGTCCAAATTTACAGTACTCATGTACGTCCCCAGACTGACATACTACTTCCAGTGAGATTCTGAAGTGTGATACAATTACAATCCCATGAGGCCACGGGAGAGGATTTATGAATAACAGTGAAGAGACGCAACTGACACTGGTAGATCACATGATAATGACAACATGGCCAATATAGTACGTCTGGATTACATTCATACTACACTCATTAATACTATAGAATGTACTTTTTTAGCGGTCGTGAATAATTACTTATTCAAAAAAGATTCGCAATTTTGGACGCATCCTTAGTGTTAGTTGCACACAATTCCTGAAAATTGAAGCCAGAACGTCTTGATCACCCCAGGTGGTCCCAGTATAGCTCATAATATCACAATATAGCCCAGTATTACTGTAAGTTAGATCTGAGTCTTCTCCTTCTGTTACTGTGACAGCGCCATATTGGGACATTGTCTTTTCTTCACTTTTCTACAATGAAGGGAGTGAAGTTGCATCGTCCATCTTTTTTTACAGTCTATGATTTTACCCCGCATGGAGTGTGTTCTGTTAAAAGGGTGAAAACACCACACATTGACGATGAGGATGAGCGCTTTCAGTGCCGAGCCAACCCCTGTTTCTTACTGTCAGGAGCCACCGATGCAGAAAATCTTTCATAATTATGGAGATGCATGGCTGGAGATACGCAGACGAGTGGTCTTGCTGCTTTGCTTGGGGACGGAAGGCCAGCGCCTGTTTTATACTCTGTCAGATCAAGGTACAACTTTTGATGAAGCATGAGTGTGAACTCATAAAGCTGAATGAGAGAACTGTCCAGAACTGTCACAGTTATGCCGGACAATTCAGTCGGGTTGGCCTAAACTGTAAAAGTCTGTCGTCAGTGACTTACATCCATACTTTCCTGTTAGACATGAACTGGTTGTTGAATCTCCATTGATTTTTAGAGGGAATCGTTCGATTGTTCATATTGCACTGCGGGAACGCCTCATCCTCCTGACACATGAGGGACATCAGGGGCTGGTGCGAACAAGTGCGCCGCACAAGTGCTGAAAAGTTCGGCCAAAGCGTCTCAATCGCCCCCTGGTGGTCCCAGTATAGCTCATAAACCCGGCCTTCTCTTCTCCATGAAGTCTAATGGGACGTGAGGGAAACTAAACAATCAAATTATACTTCAAACTAATTTTTTCCAAATATGTTTTCTGACATTATCACGCTGATGTAAGTTTAAGTGTTCATTTTTTTAAATAAGTTTGGTGTTAGTTAGTTGTTTGATACTATAAAAACGGGAATGTGACGCCATGATTGACAGCTTCTCTAAATGAAGTAGTCACTTTTTGGGGGATTTTCGGGAGGAGATTGGAGCTTCAACTTTAATTTCTACAATTATATTAAAAAAATTATTTAGATTTATCAGCCAATATATCGGTTATATATTGTTCAGTTATATTTATATATCAGTTATAGTGAAACTGTTTATTTCACACCGATATAAGTTGTTCTGCAGTAAACTGGACTAACCGATTCTGCGGTTTGGGACTTCGCATTTCTACAATAGAAGAGAGTGAAGGTGCGTCATCCATCTTTATTTACAGTCTAGTGTCTGAGGGAGTTGGTGGCCACAAATGGACGATCTTGTTCACACAAACCTTTCTGCATGACTGGCAAAGATAAATCGGCCAAAACATTCACAGCTCCAATGCAGCCAGTGTTCATGAAATGGCCCGTTTCAACCTTTCGAGAAGGGAGATACTGAAGTTTGCAATAACACTGATTGACTATTTCATCAAATGGCCAGAAGTTGGTTTTGCTTCATCAGTAACGCCAGAGACTGTTCTGAAATTTCTCGAGAAGGAAACCTTTGCTGATTTTGTGAAAACACAGGGAATAAAGAACATAAAAACATTAATTTGCTCTCTCTCTCTCTCTCTCTCTCTCTCTCTCTCTCTCTCTCTCTCTCTCTCTCAAAAGATGAACTTACATTTCATCTTCATAAGCTCTGTTTATTACGCTCAGGCTAACAGGGCCATTGAACGGTTCAACAGGTTTCTTAAAGAATGTTACAATAATGTTATAGGATGTTACTGAGAACACTGATCATTAGAGATTATCTAAATTTCTTAAAATTGCAGTTGGAAATGAGGTGAGAACAAGGAAGCCTTTACACGTGGAAAAAAGAAGAAGCCCGGTTCACTGATCCGTTGTCAGTACAACAACTAACAGGACAGAGTAAGTGACGGGAAAAGATGTAATTCAGCTCGTCTTTCACTATGCCTAAAGAGAGGAAATCTCTGCACAGGATTAAACACCTGAAAGAGGCTGTACAACAGAGAACACTGAGTCTGAATAGGGGCTTAAGACAGAGACGTCCACCTGCGTGGACTCAAGACTATGTTATGGAGTAATGTGTCTGAAGAGAAAGAAATAAGTCAGACCAAGAAGATATGTGACAGGTGTAGGTGGATCGCTGCCCAATCTAAAAAAATCTAATGTACACTGAATCCTGAAATGTTTGATGAATGTATTATGTTAAAAGGATGAAAGTGTGCTTGGAGATTTTATTATGCTCCTTTGAAATGCCTATTTGAAATAGACTGTTGTTTGAATGCGTAAGAGTTCATTTGAATATGCATATTTGAGATAAGTTGTTGTTTGATTAAATAAGACTTGAATAAGATAATGACCTTGTAAGAGAAGCAATTCTGTTTGAGTAACAGAGGAGATGTTGTGTTGAGAAGTATACAATACTCAAAAGCACGGCACTCCATAAGAAAGTCCCGACTATAGTGCAGCCTCTCCTTTCCAACGCTTTCCTCTCACAAAATATCCAAGGAATAACAATCAAATAGTTCACAAACATGCAATAGAGAGAAGCGAACTTTAGAGTAGAAACCTTTGGAGATAAGTCATACAAACTTAAACACGAACAAACAATGTTGCTGCTTCGGCGTTACTGCTTCTACAGGTCGCCACAGTGCAGCGCCCCTGAAATTAATATGATTACGTAAAAGAATAAGACAAAAAAAAAAAAACACAATTCACCTGTACTGGATGTAGAAACACATGCAAGATCTTGTTGTGCTGGACTGTGAGCGTGTTTCTGCACTGTTGAGTGTGTGTGTGTGTTTGAGCAGCTGCAGTTTCAGTTCAGTCACTGTGACTCTGACTGACGGAGGTTTTTGTACGACTCTTTATCACTGTGTGAATATATTGGTACTGATGATGTGGTGGTGACATTGACAGTAATAATGTCCAGCATCTTCAGTCTGGACTCCACTGATGGTCAGAGTGAAATCTCTCCCTGATGATCGACTGCCACTGAATCTAGATGGAGTTCCTGACTGGAGGGTGTTAACAAAATAAACCAGGAGTTTAGGAGCTTCTCCAGGTTTCTGTAAGTACCAGGATAAACCTTCATTCCCAGATCTATATCTGAGTACATTACTGCTGGGTTTACAATTGATTTTCACAGTTTTTCCTGGTTGTTCTGCTGTTATTGAGGGACTCTGAGTGACGGTGATCTGTCCTCTACACTCTGAAACACACAACAAGAAAATACACTCAGAACTTAATTGATTTTAAATTACAAAATGTTTTTTTTGGCTGTTGAAAAAGGCATTCATTATAATGACCGAAAATAAACAAATGTGCTCCACAAACCTTGAGCAAACGCTGTGAGAGTCCAGATGAAGATGATGATGAAGGTCATGTTGATGAAGATTGTTTTGTGTGTCAGTGATGAAGTGTTAAACTCACAGCACTATAAACACTCTCACACACTGAAGATCTGATCAATATGCAAACACACTCCACATCATTTCCCTGAAGACAGTCACTCAATAACAGACACAACACACAATTATTGAAGTGAAAGTCTTTTTTTAATCTTCTAATAGCCAAACTGTTAAAAATGATAATTCAATTCAGTTCTGAATACATCTACAAGACCAACTTTAGAATATTAACCTGAATATCTACTGTGAGAATTTTTTTTACTGTAGTTGGATTGAAACGTTGCAGTTAATCCCCAAATTTGACACCAAATCCATGTGTGTTCCTGCAGTTTATGAACAGACATGAGGATCATCACACACTTTGCTTAATGGATGTGCACTTTTCCCCTGAGTCCTTTATCCAAACCTCCTGTTCCTCGACAATGTGTGTACTCCCTGTCTCTATAACTCAATGCAAACTCCTATTGTAAGTTGATTCTCCACATTGGCGATGTTTTGTCTTGGTCTGAGTATTTAAGGAAAATGCCTCAAGAGGCTCGGGGGATTCTGTAAGATCGGCCCGTGATGTTGAACGTCCTCGAGACACTCAGAATCATGTATTCTTCTAATATCAGGAAGCCTATGCATCTTTTACTCTTTATCGCTGAGCATTTGATGTTTTGTATTGATTATATTTGATTTGATTATGTAATTGGCATGATGCATTTATCTGACTAATAATCAATTGTTACATTTAGATTTATTCTGACTTACTCTGAAATTATGAACTCTATAGATTACATTAAGTCCATAACAGCACAATTCTACGCTCAGGTTAGTAACGGACTGCATTCAGCCGATATGTGGAGCAGAGGAGCACGCCGGCTGAAGTTTCAGAGATACGAATAACACATCGGCATTAGTCAAGTCAAGTCACCTTCATTTATACAGCGCTTTTAACAATATGGACAGTTTCAAAGCAGCTTTACAGTGATAATAGGAAATTAAAGTAACAGAGATTGTTTTGGCTATACAGCAGCTCTAGAATAAAGTTATTGTCCAGCTAAAGTTAGTTTTGATTGATTCACTTCCGTGGCAACGATCATTAGTTATTAACTTAGGGGCCGCTAACACGACACCGTTCTAACCGAAAATTCTTTAATGCGATCCGGCCGCTCATTTTCATAAAACAGTGCCTGGTGGCTCTAAGAATTTTTTATCGCTTCCGTGTAGCCACGTGAATCGGGATTATCCCGACAACGTTTTATCAGTACAGAGGTAAAGGGAAGGGAAGGAGGCCTTCACTTGGGAAATACTATAGTTGACACTTCAGGACTGCGTTGTCGTCGTGTCCAGGCGCAGGTCCTTCATCAGATCTGGATAGGGCCTGGATCCGGCGGACTGCGGTAGACCTTGGGATAAACAGAGAGACAAATATTAGCGTAGACGCCATCCTTCTTATGATGTACAAAGTACATCAGGATTTATGGGAAGTGTTCCCGGTTCCGGCTGATCTAAACTATGCAGCCTAACATTGAATTATAGAAGTCTATAATGTGTTATGTGTATGCTAGGCCAAAGAGATGTGTTTTTAGTCTAGATTTAAACTGACAGACTGTGTCTGCTTCCCGGACAATGTTAGGAAGATTGTTCCAGGAAAAATAGGAAAAGGATCTACCGCCAGCAGTCGATTTTGATATTCTAGGTATTATCAACTGGCCGGAACTTTGAGATCGCCATAGACGTGAAGGACTTTAATGCGTTAAGAGCTCGCTCAAGTACTGGGGAGCTAAACCATTTAGTGCTTTGTAAGTAATCAGCAATATTTTAAAATGTATACGATGTTTAATAGGGAGCCAATGCAGTGTTGACAGAACCGGGCTAATATGGTCATATTTCCTGGTTCTGGTAAGAACTCGAGCTGCAGCGTTTTGGACCAGCTGTAATTTGTTTATTAAGCATGCAGGGCAACCACCCATAAGAGCATTGCAATAGTCTAGCCTTGATGTCATGACCGCATGAACTAATTGTTCTGCATTTGTCATTGAGAGCATATGACGTAATTTAGATATATTTTTTAAATGGAAAATGCGGTTTTACAGATACTATTCACGTGACTTTCAAATGAAAGATTGATATCAAAGAGCACACACAGGTTCCTAACCGACGACGAGGACTTGACAGAGCAGCCATCAAGTGTTAGACAGTATTCTACCTTATTACGCGAGGACGTATTTTGTCCAATCACTACCGTTCAAAAGTTTGGGGTCAGTGAGAATTTTATTTTTATTTTTTGGAGGAAAGAAATCAATACTTTTATTTATCAAGGAATAATTAACTTGATCGAAAGTGACAGTAAAGACATTTATAATGTTACAAAAGTCTTTTGAACTTCCTATTCATCAAAGAATCCTAAAAAAAAAAAAAAACTGTACAACTGACAGACCAACAACTGTTTCAACATTGATAATAATAATAAATGTTTCTTGAGCATCAAATCCTCATATTATACTGATTTGTGAAGGATCATTTGACACTGAAGACACTGGTGATGCTAAAAATTCAGCTTTGATCACAGGAATAAATTACACTTTACTATATATTCACACAGAAAACAGCTGATTTACACTGGAATAATATTTAATACTATAACTGATTTTTGTTGTATTTTTAATCAAATAAGCGCAGCCATGGTTAGCAGAAGAGAATTATTTTAAAAGTATTTAAAATCGTACCGACCCCAAACTTTTGAACGGTAGTGTATAATCTCTGTTTTTTCAGAATTAAGTAGTAGAAAATTACTAGTCGTCTAATTTTTTATATCAGCTATGCATTCTGTTAATTTGGTGAATTGGTAAGTTTCGTCAGGGCTTGAAGAAATATAGAGCTGAGTATCGTCAGCATAACGGTGAAAACTAATGCCATGCTTCCTAATGATATCTCCTAGGGTAGCATGTACAGAGTGAACAGCAATGGTCCTAGTGCTGAGCCTTGTGGTACGCTATACTGAACTTTTGACCGATAAGACATCTCTTCATTTACTGCTGAGAAATGACTTATGAATAATAAATTCATTATCAGTTTCAGACGAAGGACTACTTGAAAATGGCTTTATGACTTTTTAGCTTAATGTACAAAACAACATATGACACTTTTATTGTTTGTCGATTTCACACATAATTCTGGGCACAGTTGAGTCAAACCCGTCTGTCACAGGACGGATCACAGTCTAATAAAGCTGATTTCAGTCACAAGTCAGTTTTGAGCACATGTGTAGTTCTTGTGTTTGTCCTCTGTTTGTCAGTAGTGTGTGTGTGAAAGTGTTTGAGCAGCTGCAGTTTCTGTCAGTGTATCAGTTCAGTCACTGTGACTCTGACTGACGGAGGTTTTTGTACGACTCTTTATCACTGTGTGAATACATCTTTACTGTTGATCCAGTGTGAACTCATACAGTAATAATGTCCAGCATCTTCAGTCTGGACTCCACTGATGGTCAGAGTAAAATCTCTCCCTGATGATCGACTGCCACTGAATCTAGATGGAGTTCCTGACTGCCGAATGATTGATCCAAAAATCAGGAGTTTAGGAGCTTCTCCAGGTTTCTGTAAGTACCAGCTAAGAAAATGGTTTCCATTGTGACAGCAGTTTGGATCACTGCTAGTTTTACAGGTTATAGTGACTGATTGTCCAGGTTCATAGATCCGCTCTGAGGGAGTTTGAGTCACTGTCACCTGACCAACAGATTCTGACAAGAGAGAAATATTAGAAATCACAAACACTTTTACAGCCATATATCTTCACAAAAACACATAATAAATAATGTATAATCTTGACTGACACAAACCTCTACATAATACTGCCAGCGTCCAGATCAATACGGTGATGAAAGTCATGTTTGTTGGTTGAAGGTTCAGTTCTAGTGAAAAACAGTTGTTGATCATGTTTCGTGTTTGACAGAGTTATAAACACATGCAGAGCGCTGAAGCGTGTGTCGCTCATGTAAAACACACTCTCTATGCAAACGCTTCAGTATAACAGATTTAACTTGGTTTAATGTTCTGTTTCATTGAAACTTCACAAAACATTTCACGAGTTCACATGTTAATTTGATCCTTTATTCATATAAAGTAACATCAGACGAGCAAAAGCGTTTATTTTCTGAATATCAGACCAACGGCACGAATGTGAGTGTAATATTGCTTTGATACAACAGTTTAATGAAGAAGAATCTATTATTGACTTTACATTTTAGTCATTTATATTGCCAGTTATTTACTAACTGAAAGTTACAGCTAACTGAAATATTCCCAAACGAAGCCACAGTAGAACAAACCACAGAGCGACTGAGAAACACACTCGTGGCCTAAAGGTGATGATACACAGGGCAACTTTTTGAGCAATGTTGCTGGGCAATCTTGCCGTCAACGGGCAACCAGATGAGACACAGGGCCCACGACTGATCTAAATTATCCAGATAGAAATGTATTGCCCATTTTCAATGGGAAAGTACCCAAGCAACAATCGCTCGGCAAGATTGCCCAGCAACATTGCTCAAAAAGTTGCCCTGTGTATCATCACCTAAATGGTTAGAGAGTCAGATTGGTTAAATGCAGAGGACAAATTCTGAGTTTGGGTTTCCAGACTTGTCCTTCACATGTCACTTTCACAATAGTTCCTGAATGAATCAGTGTTTTAAATCGGATGATAAAGTTAATGGCTGCAACCGAAATCACATCTTTCCTTCTATTAGTAGGCAAAAAACATACCGTATAGCCAGGCCAGCTGACAGTCTTGCCTGGGCCCGGGACAAGATAATCTTAGATGGGCCCCCCCATGCCCAGATCTCTCCTTTTCCCTTGCTCTTCCTCTCCTGTTCCTCTCCTCTGCTCTTACTCTTCAGTTCCTCCACCAATTACAATTTTCTAGGCCAATTCTGATTTTAGATCAGAATTCCGTTTTTCTAACCACTTTACAGCAGACTTCCATTTTTATTTATTTTTATAAAACACCATATACTTTTACCCAAACTGAATAATAAAAACACGTTTAAATGGGTACATTTTCTATAAATGTCTTCATTTTCTTTTCTGACATAGCCTACTGCAGTTCTTGTTAAAACACACTAGACATGCAAAATCTGTGCATTTTGGGCACTTTTTGTGTGAAATCATATTTATTTTTTGTCCATCAAAAGTGTGCTTTCACTTTTAATTAAGCATGAGCAAAAATAGACTCGGATCTGGCCCATTATCTGTTCACCGATGCCGACAGTGACGCATTTCAGCCGGCTTTTTATTTCTCATCTCCATAGATATATCTAGTAGTAAAGCTAATGCAAGGGCTAGAAATCAATGAATTCTTTGCTAATACTTCCTCGTCATCATGGAGAGCAGACGCACCGCTTTCTCCTTTCCACAAGCGTTTGCTCTCCCGTGGCGTCTGTCGTTGCTATGCAACAATGAACTTGGCGCGCCTGGAAAAAACGAGCGCGCCGCGTCGGTATTATGAGCTAATATCCAAAATATTTCGATATGTGGCTCTTTCCTCATTTCTTATCAACAAGTGGATTTACAGCCACCACATCAGCAGCACCGCCGGTCGCCATGTCTCAGCGCTTTTATGAAGAGGACGCAACTGCACGCGCTTCGGGCATGAACGCGCATCAAGTACCGCTGTTTCTTACCTTGCTCTACGTTGACTTTACTAACATTAGTTTCAGCTTCACCGTCACCAACTTTTTAAAAAATATTTGTTTATGACACCTCTAAGGCCTCTATTTTCTTCTTCTCTTCTTCTCTTTTCTTTTCTTTTCTGAGCACAGGACTTGTGCTGACCGGACATTTTGAGCGTAGACTGAACTTCAAATCAAATGACAACATCAAATTTTGATCAGTGGCCAAACCATTTTTGTTTTGGGGGGAGGGAGGGGGGGACTTGACCACTATTTCAAGGACAATTAGGAAGAAAACAAATAAAAAGCTTTTATGTAACTCAAATACTAGATATTTTTTCCACAAATATGCCTATTTTATTTATTTTTTAACAATTATTCCATAATTTAATGAGGGCCCAGTTCTGGGCCCCCCCCCCCCCCCTACCCTGGGCCCGGGACAACAGACCCGTTTGTCCCCCCCTGTCGGCGGGCCTGCGTATAGCAGTGAAAACATGGATAGCTGGAAAATTCAGTCAATGGTGGGGAAAGAGTAAAGTAGAATTAAAGTAAATTCCTGTATACTACCAGTGGACTAGCCTACACAAAAATTCAGATACGCAGAATTAGAAACATCTGTTTTATGTCAATATTTTAATCAATATTTTCAAACAATGTAAGTTTCATAAGACTGTTTATGAAAAAAAGTTATTAGGCTACTCGATCAAAAGAGTTAAAGGTGACCTATAATTCAAAATTGAATTTACCTTGGTATAGTCAAATAACAAGAGTTCAGTGCATGGACATGACATAGAGTGAATCTCAAACTGGACTGTTTTCGCGTTCTCATTTAATTCACGTTTATGAAAAACACCCCTGAAAAACGGTCGGTTCTCCACACAATACCGACTGTGACGCAATAGTCGGGATCATTAATATGTACGCCTCCAAATATTTGCATAATGCCAGCCCTCAATGCCAGGCGGAACTGCGCAGCCGAAGCATGGCAGTTGCTCAGTGTGGATGTACACATGAACACAAAAGTATTTTTTAGTTCCTTCATCTGAGCCTCTGGAGAAACAATGGGTTAATTTTATTTTCTCTGGAAATTTTCAAACATTTCACCGACGACTGTTTCCTCAACTTGGGCCAATACAGAGCTGGCCTCGGATCGAGCTACCAAGCAACACTTTCTGATGTGTAATTGTTCAAGTTCAGACAGGTAATCTTTCTCTCAAAATCGTTCAATACTGTTTATGCATCAGTAAGTCAAGCCAGTGACTAAAATATCAGCTTCACATCGTTTCTTTTAGTAGGATGAAAATAATCGTATTTAAATTGTGAACATTATATACAGAAAGCGATCAAAGAACAATCTTTCCACACAGCGCGAGTTTATCTGGACACTTGCCAAACTCGTTATGAAATCAATGACGCACGTTACTGCACAACGAAGCTCTTACTGTATTTACATCATCGTGTTTGCATTGGTGAAAGCAGAGAGAGTGCAGAAACTGCTTTGCAATGATAATGTGGCAGGCAGTACAAGAGAGGGAGGATAGAGAGAGAGAAAGAGAGAAAAATAGAAAGAAAAATCGACTACGCCACCCTGGTCGCTAAGCCAGGGAAGTGTCCTATTAAAGACACACAGGTTCGGTGTTTCCCTTACATAAATACTCCGAGACGTGGATATGGAAAAATACAAAAATATATTCTTTATTTGGACAAAGATAAAATACTGGCGTGCCAGTCAGTTAGGTTCAATTATAACATCACACAATAAACAGCTCACAGGACTCGTGGTCACCCGAAGCAGGACGAGCTAGTGCCAGACGTCGCTAGTCTCAGCGATGGTAAAAGAGCACCCACACGTGCACTACACGTCACTCAAATCACGTCAACCAAGACCAATCACTATGGATTGCAGACCACACACACTGTGTCTCATCAGGACCCGCCACCTTAATTGGACAACTAGCCCTCCTGCTCCGGGCTCACAGTGCCTGAAACACAAGAAATAAAGAATTACAAAAAAATAAATCAAAACAAATAAACCAAACAATTATCCTCACCTATGGGTACCCATATACAGGACACAACATGCGAGACATACAATATACGTAACTAAAAGGAAAACATTCCGCAATCCACTCAAATCTGCACTCATCAGTGTCAGTGATGGTGAATGGATCGCTACGGGCCAACAGGAACAATCTCCCCAGGCCGGTTACCACTCACAATCCCTCTTTCCCTTGGGACCAGTCGGGGATAATCTCACAGTGAGCAAAGAAAATAACAGTAATTATAATACAAATAAAGCACAAAACACCCAAAACTAAGAAAACAAAACACCAACTACCAAGCAAACTGATAAATCAATAAGCAAACCCCAAAAAACACAAAAGATAAATTACACAGAAAAACAAAACAGAATTACACACGCAAGCAAAATAACTCAAACAAAAACATTAATAGGAACAGAACAGCAGCGACGACAAGTCCTAGAGCAGGCAAGTGTAGTCTTCAAGTGCCCTTAAAACAGCAGATCGATCCACCTGCAAAAGCCGGACTATGAGCTAAAATATGCATAGCATTAATTTACTGTTGTACAATTGATCGCACATACCAAACATGCGGAGATCGCGCCACTCGCCCAGTCGACAAGAGATGAAAAAGCCCAATGATACGCTGGAATACACAGACCCCATAATATTAACTATTCGCTCATTAATTAAATACAGCCAAAAGGGCCAAAGAGAGACCTACCAGGACGTCAAGCAGCAATACACCCCCGATGCTGAATGCAATTCATACCGAAACGGTGGTATCCGGAAAACAGCGCGTGTTGCCAGGCATGCAACCCTCAGCACAACGTGTGCTTTTCTGCGAACAGCCCAGAACCTGACAAAAGTAACACTCAATCTAATGTTCATTAGGCTCAAGCATAAAAACCAGCCGCCACACTCACCTCAGCCAGAGCACCAGACAGTCGCAACAATAATGACGTGCTAGAACGCGGTCGCACATTCACGCAATCTCCGGTGACAACACCGCCACCTTAATATACCCCTTGGAAGGAATTACCATAATTATTATCAATGAATTGAATGCTGATCACCTGCGTGCATCTAGGGCGGAGTCTCACTCTACAGAGAGGACGTCAACAAACAGCGGCACTTCACTACAATCAGATCTTCATTCTCGCGATCAACACACAGTCATCTGCTCAATGCTCATCACGGC